GGCTGTTTCCCAGCGGAAAGATTTAGTAGTCTACTTCCACAGACTCAAAAAGTCGAGGACAAAACAAACCCCAATACTGTCTAGTCAATTCCAACTTGTAGTAACTACACAGGACAGAGTGGAACTGCTGCCTACGGTTCCTCAGCCTGTACTCTTTGTGGAAACACTCCCATGGAGTGGCTGACGTGTTTCCACCTTTCACGCATGTATGCCACCGGGCTTCCTTCCACAGAGGTTACCGCCCAGGAAACCGATTGGGAGGCTCTACTGTTTTACAGGGTCACTATCAGTTGAGTTGACTGAATGACACCCCTGGCTCCCCATCTCCTTTTCTTTTTAAACAGCCTGTCATCATGCTATTTCCCTGAGAGGTTTACAGCAATTTTTATTCTTACCTCTAGCCCAAGTAAGGAGCCTGATAGTTACACGGTGAACTGCTACCCACAATTTCGGGAGTTGAAAGGCACCAGCCACCCCGTGGGAGAAAGACGAGGCTTTCCACTCCCATAAAGAGTTGCAGGGCTGGAAACCCACAGGAGCAGTTCCACCCTGTCCACAGAGTCACTATGAGTCTGTGTCAATTTGATGGCAGTGGGTTTTGTTTCTATTTTAAATTTTATCTGAAAGTAAGCAAGGAGGCCATTTGAGCCTCACAAAAAGCTACCTTCTGTGTTCTTTTTCTCCCCAGGGAGAAGGGAGTGCGCCTACAGGTCTCTTTACAAGGGATGACATTTCCAGACGGCCCAGGGTGCATGTAGTAGAAACAGGGGCCAGGCCTGCTCACCTTTCAGCTGGTGGTTCTCAACAAGGAGCTCTTTCATCTGCTGCAGCAGCTCCTCTGGGGTGAACGTGTCCAGGTTCGGGGGAGCCAGACAGGGGGGTCCATTTTCTGTGCTTTGGTTGGAGTTGTCCCCCCTTTCGCTCAGGCAGCTCGGTGGTTGGTGGGACATGGCAGCAGTTCCTAAGGAAAAGGCACAAGCCGAGAATTTGCCTGCCGCCCTCTTGGCGAGGAGGTCTTCACAAAGCCCACACATCCATTAGGAATTGCTAATACTTCTTCTGAGGAGCCCTGGTGATAGAGTGGGCTGCTCACCACAAAGCGAGCAGTTTGCAACCACCAGCCGCTCTTTGGGAGAAAGATGAGGCTTTCTACTCCTGTGAAGAGTTACAGTCTCAGAAACCACGGGGCCGTTTTGTGCGTCAGAATCGACTCGGTGGCAGTGAATAAGAGAGACGAAAATGTTTCTTCTGAGTGCTGGCTATTTAATCAGCAATTACATTTTAAAGCATACTTGATTCTTCCTTTTAAACAACAACAACAAGGGATGCATGTCCCGGCTTTAGGGAAACGTGAGACCAGAGTGAGGAGTTCTGGGAGACACAGCAGAGGGGGTGCTTTGGGGATGATCAGGAACCCTCGCACGAAGGCTCCCTCAAACATACACCTTACACTTACATAGACCGGCACTGTAGACACGGCGCCATTAAAGTGAGTTCCCATCCACATCTCCAAGTTCAAATTCCTTATTTTGGATGAATTCCATGGCGTGTGAACTAATCACAAGAAAGCTGTTTGAATACGTTCTATATTTGACTTGCGGTGTTTTTTGATGAAGAATACAGGCAGAACTCCTTTTATTTACTTATTTTTTAACATGATATCTGAGTCAGAATTGACTCAGTGAGGTCCTTTCAAATCCACGTGCTGACCACTGTACCGTGCTACTGTTCACTAGAACCCAATTTGATAGTTAACCTACAGGGGAGGAATCCACGTTAACAGGGCGTGCCTAAGGTCGCTCAATATGAAGCACAAGGAGGTATGATTGCAAAACCAACCTTAAATACAGAAAAGGTACTGTTGAATACTTAATATAATGTTTCAAAGCAAAGATAACCAAGACATCTTTCTTAGTTATTATACACTTGGAAATTGTTTTGCCTATCACTTTATTTTGTAGAGTGTCCAGTGTGAACATGACATATAAATGACTGGATCACAACTTCTCGTCTGTATGACCTACCACCCGGGCAAACGGAAGTCTCTTCCAACGACTGGCTATGTGCTACAGGAAAACCACATCATTCTTTGTTGTTCCTGAAGAGGATAAGCTTCTCCCATGAAGAATTAATGTAGATGTAGCTGTAGTAATATTATACAAAGTCATAAAAAGTAATACACAGGTGAGGGCAACACTTGTCCCCCAGCACCTACTGTAAACACACACACATACACAGAGAGAGCGAGTCCTGCTGTGAATGTAGACAAATGTGACAAATGGTGAGAAATACCCGAAAAAGCATACGATCAGTTCCAAGTTGCTTACCCTTAGAAGGCAATTCTAAATCCATGTGGCCGACCAAATAGAAAGGAGGGCTCTGTTTCTCTATCGATTGGCCCACGCAGTGTCTGACATGGGACTGCACGGGAAGACCTCTGGCTGGATGGCACTCCAGCTCCGACTGGGGAAGAGGCCACGTCCAGGAAGAATCAGTGTGCAAGCTGTGGACGGCGTGAAGCTTCAGGGACCTTCGTTTGCCAAGAGCGCACAACTCACAATGAGGAGCTTCAAGCATCCATTAAAATTGGAACATGGCAGTACGAGGTATGGATGCAGGGAAATTGAGTCCTCAAGATGAAACAAAATGCATAGAGATCAATATCCTAGGCATCAGTGAGTGGAAATGGATTGGTATTGTCTGTCCAGAATCGGCTAATCATATGTTCTAGTATGCTAGGAATGACATCAAATTCAGTGTCAAAGAGAACATTTCAAGATCTATCCTGAAGTACCATTATGTCAGTGGTGGGAAAAAACTATATGTCAATGAGGAAGGCCAGCTAATATTACTATTATGCAAATTTAAACACCCACTATTAAAGCCAAAGAGGAAAGACATTAGAGATGTTTGCCAACTTTTTACAGCCTGAAATTGATCAAGCATGCAATCAAGATCCATGTATAATTACTGTGATTGGAATGCAAAAGTTGAAAACAAAGAAGGATTGGTGGTTGGAAGCTATAGACTAGGTGATAGAAATGACACTTCAGGTCACATGATAAAATTTGCAAGACCAGAAACATATGCATTGTGACCATGTTTTTTTGCAAGAGGAGAAACAGTGACTATACATGTGGGTTTGATGGACAGAAAACACTGAGCAAATCTGCCATACAAGATCTCTTTAGACTGTCAACAATCAAAGATATCACTTTGAAGACTTAGGTGCATCTAATCCAAGCCCTGGTGCTTCCAATGGCTTCATAGGCAGCCATGAAGAATGAAGAAGGGCTGACACCTTTGGATTGTGGTGCTGCTGATGACTACTGAGTATTCTATGGATGACCAGAGGAGAAAGGGACGCTGGTGGTAGAGAGGGTTACACACTGGGCTGCTAACTGCAAAGTCAGTAGTTCTGCCCCATCAGCTGCTCCAAAGGAGAAGAGGAGGCTTTCTGTAAAGAGTTACAGTCTTGGAAGCCCACAGGGGCAGTCCTAGTCTGTCCTTTAGGGTCACTATGCGGCAGAATCGACTCGATGGCAGTGAGGGACCAGAAAAACGAACAAATCCGTGTTGGGAAAAGTCCAGCCAGAATGCATCTTAGAGGTGAGGGTGGCGGGTCTTCGTCTCAAGTATTTTGGTCGTGTGTCACAGAGGTGAGTGCCTGGCAAAGGAAAACATGCTTGGTGTGGGGTCGGGGAGAAAGAGGAAGATCGACAACATGATGAGCTGACGGAACAAAGACAGCAACTGTTATAAGCATGTTACAGGAGTGGGCACTGTTTGGTTCTGCTGTATGTAGGGTTGCTAAGATTTGGGGCTGACTCAACTGCAATTGACAATCACATCTCAAGTAACTATGTATTCTACAGAACTGCTGTGAGGCAGAAAACAGGTACATGTACATATACCATAACAGGTACAGTTCCATCACAGGTACAGATGATAGGCTCAAGGATGAAGGAGGAGGTGGGAAGTGAGCACACAGTTTCTAACTTGGGAGTTGGGGAGTCAATTATACATAAAATTAGTCACTGGAAAACAGAGGCAAGGGAACTTTATTTTCTACCATGTGGTCTAACCTGTCTATTTTCCCCGCAGCGGGAGATTCAAAGGAAATGAACCCACAGAACACAGACATGCTTCTTCCCTACTCAAATAGGAAGCAACCTTTGGGGTCTCTGGAGGTTGGCAGGTATCCTCCTTCGAATTTGAAAAAAACTTCTAGGTAATTAGGAACCATGGTTAGGTGCCAGGCTGCTAACCGAAGGTGAGCAGTTTGAAGCCATCAGCGGCTCTCCAGGAAACAAATGACGCTTTCTACTCTTTAGGCAGTTACAGTCCCGGAAGCCCACAGGGGCGGTGCTACCCTCCCATAGAGCCACTGTGAGTCAGCACTGAGTGAGGCCAGGTAATTATGAGCTAATGCTGTTGTCAACGAGAAATAGCAGGCGCTTCTGGTGCAGTGACTTCTCCCTCCGGCATTTTGCACAAAGTAATATACTTGTATTTTCCCAGAATGACTTAGTAAAGATGGCAGTTTTACGAGGCAGAAAACACTGATAAAGCATATTAGTTAATTCTGGTCCATTGGCAAGGATCTATGCTTTCCATAGCCTCATTCACTCAGGTAGCGGTATAATGCTGCAGTGTGCTACTCCTGGGTGACTAGAACAGACTGCTTTGTTTCCCCAATAAAATAACTTGGATTCCCTGCCATTTTCTTGCTTTCCCAAAGATTTGTTTTCATATAGAACAATCTAGGTGCTAAACTTTCAGAACAACAGGGTTTGTTTAATAACAATTTTCCTATTTTGCAGAGGAACCCTAAAATTCTAGACAACAAACCTCAGGATCAAGAGCAAATCCATGTACTATATATCCTACTCATCCATGTTAAATTTCCTCAGACGCCCCATGATATGCCACACTTTGCAGAGGTCGTGGAAACAGTTCACTGGTGTTTGGAAGTGTAGGTAATGAGCTATCTGGCGATGTCTTATGTTGGTTTCATTTGATCACATGCACAGACTTCTCCCAAATGGTTGTTTTAAGGGAGAGGGAAAGGAAGAGAAGAAAAAGAAGCAAAGAGAAATTGTTCAGATTTGTTTTCCTCTTTGTCCTTTCTTAGGACTCAAAAAGTCCTTTGGAAACCACCATAATGGAGGTGAAGCTAGTGCTGGCTGTTCCATCTGGGCAGCTAACTTTTTCAGGTTGTGCAGACTGGGACGAGAGCACAAGGAAACCGCAAGGCTGAGTGACGAGTTGTGACTTGCCATTGGGTCGGCTCTGCCTGATGGAGACCCTGTGTGCGCACAGCACACCTGCTCCCTTGGGCTCTGATGGTTATGGAAGCAGACTGCCAGGCCTGGGCTAAGGGAGACAGAAGAGAAAACACTAGGTGCCACTAGCCAGGGGTGTGAACTTCAAAAATCCTACCTGATCTCTTGCGATTACTTATTGAATCATTTAGCAAATGATAATTAGCGCGGCTGCTTTCGGCTCAAAAACTCTGGGTCAGCACTTGTTGAAACAGTATTCTTAAGATGACAGTCCAAACCCCACCAGTCAACACACACGTAAGACTCTCGGACTCTTGTGGATGTGCTATGCCCCCCCCCCTCTAATAGATACCCCTGTTCTTAGTACAGTACTCTGTTTTCTAGCAGTGCTAGAAAAAAATGACTTTATAATTCAAATGGTATGATAATAAGTTAGTATATAAGGCACAGGAATCTTAGTACACATATACTTAAGACTACAATTTTACTGAAAGTGATCTGATTTTGGGAATGTATACGTTGGGAGCATCATTAGCACTCATTACTGTACAGCGAACATGTACAGCACATGCAAGATGTCTATTGGTAAAAGGTCAGTTGAGTTACTTTCAATTGAGCAAACACAAACACAGACACATTATAAATCCTTGCACATATCTTCTGAGGTCACTAAAAT